GAATGCTTTGTAGCAAGTTTTGGAGCCATTTACAATATAAAAAAAAATATATAATTGAGAATTTCGAAGCTAGCTAGGTCGTTTTTCGAAATCTGATAATTCAAATTGTGTCATTACACTGTAATTTTCTTAATAGAAGGTACATGTAGGTTATCTTGAATCCGAGTATCAATATGGCTGACACACGCGTGGTGGTCGCTAAAGAAAGATTATTTTCCGTGGCAGCCAGCTCTCGGAGCATGCCGGCAGGTCGCTCACGCTTTCTTAGTCAAGCTAATAGTTTAGGAGACAACTGTTTTTTCATTATCATGATCTGCCGTTAATTTTACACTTCCTAACTTGCTGCCAAGTAATTGTGTCAAGCCACGGTAGAACATATTATGTTGTTTTATTACATCGCTTTTTAGATCGTCGTATCTCGATTGCAATTATGATGTTGACGAGACAATGTAATTAAAATTGTAATTGTTTTTTTTAAACGTACCTATTAAACGTCTCATAGGCAAGACTACTAAATTGTTAGTTATGAAATAATCAATAATGGAATTTCCATTAAAAATCGATACCCAACCCGCTACGAAATAGTTATTCAACTATATTTTGTCATCCTTGTTATATGTACTGAACGTAATAAAAATGTAGGCCTTCTAAACTTAATTTTTTGCAAAGATTCTAGGACCTCAATAGAGTCGGCTGGCCACCAATTGTGTCGCCATTCCCCCAATCTCCCCATTCCTGTAGAACCCTTGGAAGGAAGGAACAGGGTATTCACAGTACTGTAAAAACCCCTCGTAACCGTGGAAACGGCTAGCTTTACAACATTCTGGTGCATCACCCCCTTGATATCGATCTATGAGCACGGGCCAGGGTGTCCTCAAGCGTTCGATGTCTTAATCAATTTTTAATCAGTTATAACCAATACCTTCATAATGAAGATGGTTTTTCTTAAATATCCGTTGTAGTATTTCCGATACGTCATTCGTCTTTGTGGACAACAAAAAAAGGATTATTTTGTGGCTGACAATCCGATCACAATTTTTATTTACATTACCACCAATAGGCTTCTACTTTAGAAACAACGAGGTGTTATAATACATATAAGGCTGTTTGAAGTAATTTATACACTGTGACATTGTGACTAATTTCATCGCTAGAGCATTTTCGACATTTCGGAAATAAGGTCTGGCATAGCATTATTAGGATATACTCGGTACGTTAAAAAAAATCTAGTGTTTGGCTAAGATAAAAATTGGCGTTATATTGTACTTTTACGTGCACCTTCGCCTATCCCACCAAAGAAAATTTGTATAACAATGTTTTTTTTATGGCATAAGCCGGTAAACGAGCAGACGGATCACCGAAACACCGGAGGCGTTACAAATGCGTTACCGGCCTTTTGGGGATTAGGAGTTTGATCATCATTAGGGATTCAGGGATTGGGGAGATTGGGGAAGGGGAGGGTAATTGGGCCTCCGGTAACCTCAGTCACACGACGAAACACAACGCAAGCGTTGCTTCACGTCGGTTTTCTGTGAGGCCGTGGTATCACTCCGGTCGAGCCGGCCCATTCGTGCCGAAGCATGGCTCTCCCACACTTGAAAAAATGATAAAATGAAAAAATGATCCCACACTTGAAGAAATGTAAAATAAACCATTTACAAATATATGAAATCGGTAATAGTTAATCAATAATAATTTAAAAGAAAGTTGCAATGTTGTTATGAAACCATCGATCAATAGACCGCACCCATAAACAACGAGTCTATAACCGATAACTATCGATTATATCCATAAAATCATGCCATTTTCCCTAAAGGTGTAGACAGAGAGCGGTGTATTATTGAGAGGGAGATAATTAGGTAACAAAGCTAAGTCTCTATTAATAACATCAGAGTTAGTAATTACCTAAAACTTTATTATTAAAGCTTCTGTTTCCGGATTTAATCAGCTCGGGACGGGTACCGTGGACGTTCGTTTTCACACGTACCGATTTCTAACATATAGGTACGAGGTAATTAATATTACCGCCAAGTACTCTCAACACCGGACGCCCTAACGTTTGTGACAAAAGCACATATAACTTCGAGATCGAGGAAGCACATTTGCAACTCCATTAAACACGGAAACCTCGATAACACCTTTCTGATACCAAGATCGATGCATACTCAACGGCTGAGCTCATGCCCACCAGACCAATTAGACAGTCAGACAGAAAATTACCTGAATAACATAAATATTATAAAAAAGAAAGTTTCTAATGGTCTTGTTAAGTATTCAATCGATAGACCGTCTATCGACTGCGTTTATTTATAACCAACCAATATCGATTAGCTTAGCCGTGTGGTGATGGTAAACCAGGACACATTTATTAGCATCCCTATTCTTCATCGGGTCAGAGTGTCGCTAAAATCGATTAAGGGACTACACACATAGCCTGGAGTACCGGCTCAAAGTAGGAGTAAGAACGGGGTGGTTTTTAGTCAGTAAGAGTCTGACATTCTTTCTCGTCTCACCCAAGGCGGGGTAAGTCATTGGATGATTTTCTCGCCTCACAATAAAGGGACTACACATAAGTCATAACACATTGACCGATGCTAGGTAGCAACGGTCTTTGATAAACCTGAAGATCAAATAACACTTACTTCGGTGTTACCTGCATCCACTAGAAAACAAGCAAAATAACAATCATTAATAATATAAGTTAGAGGAACTCGACATACTCTATTTCTTAAAAATATGGCTCGTGATCGAATTAGTTCGCTTTCGCCAACTTAAGATCACTATTTGTGATGCTTCACGGGCAAACACGACGATGTAATTCGTCACAATCTACTATGTCGAGCTTTCGAATCCACAACATAAACAAATGTTCTACCACGTTGGTTAAAGATACTCTGTACTGTGGCAAGGGGATTTAAAACGATCATGATTTGTCAATCAGTAAACGTTACATAAGTAGGCAGGATTAACCCAGGTATTATGTACAAAGGTACTACACTCGACTGCTATGTAGTAACACTTCTACACAATGCAGCCCTAAGAGCACTCGCTATCTCCAAAGTGCGAAGAGCTGCGTAATTGTTGGCCACACTTATAATCCACATGAGTATTAATTAGATAAAAGACACTTATCAGAACGCTAACTCTGGACTCAATGTTGAGCAGAGCTGAGATAAGTACCTAAAGGTTTTTATTCCACTAATTCTAAAATAATTAAGAAAGAGGATGCATTAAAAAAAGTCATAAACTGTGAACAAATTTTTCTGGTCCTGTGTTTATAAATGTTATGATTGGGAGTATTGCTAAGTCTAGCATGAGGCACACCGCGGCTGCTGCGCTCAGAATCACCTTGAACATGATCTGGCGTCGAAGTGGCACCCCTAGAGCAAACAGGAGCTCGGCTACTACATGTGTTAGTTCCCCAGAGCGGCGCCAACGATGCCAGATGGCCCCTGCGTTGACCAAAAGCATAGCTGCCCCGGTGCTACATAGGTACGCCTGCAAAGAGTTGCGTCATTAATATATCTGATCGCACTTTGAAACAACTTTGAAAATTTGGAAATAAGGAAACTGTAATATAGTTCAGTTTAAACAATTTCATTGCTCACCAAAAGTTAGCTAAAGTGTCACAGCAATGCAAAACAAGTAACATTTACAATAAAGTACACCAATTTCAATTCAATCATCCGACCTGATTGATCTCTGTCTTGATATACTATTCGTAATTTAATCTTAGAGTGACGCTGTAACTGTTAAAAGGAAAAAATATGAAATTATTTTTAATGGAAAGTGTTGTACCTGCAAGGCCTTGCCATCGCAGCAGTCTGCTCCGGCGCATAACGCCAGCCCGGTCATTGCCAGGGTGTATGTGACCAACACTCCTCCTGATACTGACTGCTCCCAGCGGAACACCCTCACAGAGCGGACGTGCATCGTCAAGACCGCCACCAGCAGAATGATGCTGACTAGTCTCAGTGATAGGATGGGTATTCTTTCTCTGTTAGGTGTGCCCGTCGATGGTACGGGTGCTTTATCCATTTGGTACAAAGTAAGCTATTAAAAAAAGGAACGAGTGACAATTTTGTCCCAGAAGTAGGACCTAATTCACAAAAGAACTTCTTATTAAGGTTCAGGTTGATAGATGAGCCTTTGTGTAGAACCTAAATCTTAACGAGACGACAACTTCAAATTACACAGTCAAATCTGAACCAAAACTAATATTGACAACAATTTTGAACGAAAATTCTTCCTGGACTAAGTTTATAAAATGTAACTTGGGTGTCTTCAAAGCTTGCAAGAATAGCTTGCTTATGGGATCGCTTGCTCCATCGTAACCGTATAATTGCTTACCACCAGGCGAGATAGTAGGCAAACGCCGGCTAATTGCCAATAAAAAAGATGTGCCTAAACTGTAGAGTATTAAACTCGTCCTATTATACCAAACCTGCACTTCACATCGACTCCAAGCTTTATAGTTGGCAAAGAGCCAGGGAGAAGCGACAACAATAGTAACAATCAACCTTAACTTAAAGCACTATGCTCTGAAATTACTAACTTGGATGGTCATGTTGGCTGCAGTGGTACCGTTCTTAGATCATAATCCAGGTATTCAGGTAGGTTCTGCAGTAAACCTGCACATTATATTTACATCCTCATCTAATATTGCACGTGATGACATGACAGAAGCAATAGAGAATGTAGAATGTTCAGTGGACCACGATGACGGATCATTTTCCTCTATGTTCGGTTGATAGAATGATATAGCACCTTTTTTCAATCAGTCATGTTGATTTGCGAGAATTTGTTAGTTTTTTTTTTGTACCATTCGTTCGAAATAAGATGTTGTTTAGATTGGAATTGTGTCAAGTTGTAATCAATGGAATCATTATTGATTCTTAATTTTATTTGTTTCTACATTTCTTTGTTTTTCTGTGCATTTTGTAGTTTCTTTAGTTGTGCGAAAAGTGTACCTACTAAATATTTTTCTTTTTTATTTTCAGGGTTATCAGCGACCTGTCACTTCCCTGGTGCGCCCGCGCACTCGAGAGTGACATTCTCCGATGAGACCTTGACTGAAGGTACTATCGCATCCTACGAGTGCGAACGAGGATTTGAACTCCTTGGACCCACCAGGAGAGCCTGTGGAGCCAACGGGAAATGGGCACCCGATGGCATACCTTTTTGTGGTAAGTATAGACCATTGATTATTAATTAAATCACTATAACTCAACATCACCAACAATGTACTACGAGAACATCTAAAATAATCATACTGAATGAAAAAAACGTGACGAAATCGTATATATTTCAATGGAATAATAGAATAAAAATCACAAAGGGCATAGAGTATACTTTCTTTGAGAGTTGTGGGAGTATATGACAAAGAATCTTCCGCTTTTTAGATGCCATTCACAGCCATGTGAAGTGTTTTCACGAAGAAAGTAAAAGTCGGTCATGGGTACCGAGCAGGGTTGTACTGTATTGTAATTTGATTTAACGTATTGTGCATTGTTGCGATCATTTTACTAACACTTCTAGAAAAACGTAACATCACGTTTGGTTTTCTCTGGTGTGGCAGACTGTGACGTGGGTATTGTTGTTGTCATAGGTCCTTAAATTAAGACATTTTAAAGAAGTATGACTAGTCCTCAGGTTCCAACTTACTTCATATCGAGACCTCTCACAAAATTGCTCGATAATCATTTTAAGGTATACCACACAAAAACAACTATTCAAAAGTATATTAAGATAATTTGACTGCACGGTTGGTGCGGTGGCTGGGCAACCGGCTGCCGTACAACGTGTCGCGGGTTCGATTCCCGCACGAAACAACACTTTCTGTGATCCACAAATTGTTGTTTCGGGTCTGGGTGTCATTGTGTATGTGAACTTTTATGTTTGTAAACGCACCCACGACTCAGGAGAAAATCCTAATGTGGGCAACGTTTTTTCAAAAAGAAAAAAAAAAGTCTTTTTTCAGAATCGAATCAATCAAATAAACTTTGAAACATAAATAAAACGAATTATCGGTCTGTAATTCGCATGAACAGGAATTAGTTTTCCTTTAATCGTTGATTGATCTTGTATCGAAGTAATGTTCGATTTGTTTCGTAAAGAAAACGAATATTTATTAAATAATAAATTTCATTTATTTTTTTCTATCATAATAGATATTGATGTAGACCTTACTACTAGTCGTATAATATTGAATAAGCTTGTGAGAGACTTTGGTTCTACATAGGGTTGTGCGAAGTTTAAGTGACAATGCAACGATGGAAGTCAAGAACCCAAACTATCAAATAATATCTTATAGTCCGTGCGTAATGCGCTGTGAAGAACATAAAATACGGTTATGTTATGTTAACAATGTTAGTTTAGCATTGCACATAAAATCGTGTCGAACCCAAGAAATCGAGTATTCTAAGTCCTACCGACAAAGTGACAACCCTTGTGAGGCAGAATAGCAGCACCGGCAGCGCGGCACTGCGCGTGCGTCTCTAGTTCAGGGATGGATTCATAAAATGTATTTATTACCCACAAACGATTCACTTTTATCTATTTATAATTTCAAATACATTATTGTATGTAGTATATAATACTCCATTACTATTTAAGTAAGACAATGGTACGTCGTTAGGTATTGTGCGCCTTTAAAGTTTACTATTGGTACTAGGCTGCCAAATATATGTTTTATGTATAAAGAATTAGACAAAGGGTTGTGTGTAGACGTGCTGACGGATGAACAGCGCAATTTAGGAAGTTTTTAAACGCATAACTCGTGAAAATCATTTTGAGTACCTTAAAAGCGAAACTGTGATAAGCGATATCTTATAATATAAAAATTAATCGCAAATCTCGAGAACAGCTTAACCGATTTCGCTAATTTATTTTTTTGTTGGGTTCGCCTTGTTTAAGTTAGGTTGTTAATTTATGTAAAAAAAATATTAACAAGGATGCGAAGAAAAAACTCGAAGGTAACTAGAACGAATTTCGTGGATCTAGTATTCTATAAAATTCATAATAATAATAATTTTTAATATGGAGCAACACTGAACGTCAATAACATGCCAAAAATTTTACTCTGTATAAAAAATTATGTTTCAATATTAATTTATATATATTTTGGAAGATTTTACACAGAAAATAACGCATTACGAACTCTTTTACAATATTAAAATAGATGACATACTATATATAATAGATGACAGATGACACGATCCATAAATGAAAATGTCATGCGCGCATATTTTGGGGCAACAGAGGGAGGAAGTAACCTGACAGCGTACCGTGTCAGAATGCTTGCTATGTTTCAGGTGCTCGAACCAACCATCAACGTATCGGCGCAACGACTGTCGGATCAGGTACGGGTCATTCAGCGTAATCGTATGTTGGATGATATCGTGCTTGATCGACTGCGAAGTGAAGTACTTAGGAGCCGTGTCATCATACCGCTATCGCAAAATGTACAACAAGGACAAGTGGATGTTGATTCTGTTGATACGCCGAATGATGACAGGACTACGGAAGTAAGTACTCACAAATGCAGTGAAGAATTGAGGAGAGCTTTGGAGGATGCAATTCAGGAATACCGGTTCGTATCACCCTCTCTTAGACCACACTTACCTCGTTTACCCATGCATAAAAAGAATAGGGCGCTTATGTGTGCTTTAGATGCGGAGTTATCAAATTATTTTGATACCAGCGAAGATCTTCTCGATACTCATTCAATTCTGTACTGTGGAGCAATAGCAGCATGCCGTGTGGCACATGTCAAACTAATCAAAAAAGACAATAATGTCACGCGGCAGAAACTAGCTGTACCAGCTTGGCAGTGCAGGATTGAACGACGTATCGATGAAGCTAGAACACTCATTGCCAAATTGGTCTGTTTCAGGGAGGGCAACACGCGCCCAAGAGTTATGCGCTTCGTGAGGCGGGCGTTCTCGGGAACTGATATTAGGCCCCAGGATTACGTTTCACACATTACGGAGCGTGTTGACTTCCTGAAACAGAAGATTTATGCATGGGCGAACCGTATTAGACGGTATAAGAAGAGAGTGAAACGATACACCCAGAATCGCACATTCCAAAGGGATCAAAGGTGGGTGTATAGAACTTGGGAGCAAAAAGAACAGACTAGGACTGATGCGTGCTTACCAAATGTTGATGCTATGAATTCGTTCTGGCGCAGCATTTGGTCGGCACCTGTTAGTCACATCGAAGGGGATTGGATTGAGGAGGTCGAGGGAAAATGCGAACTGATACCAGAAATGGAACCAATTTTTATTACATCAGAAGATGTGTCCAAAGCAGCCAATCCGTTGGCCAATTGGAAAGCTCCAGGCCCGGATGGGCTGCATAATTTTTGGATAAGATGGTTTATCAGTTCGCATAGTTGCTTGGCATCTCAATTCCAGTCAGCTTTGGAGTCTGGATCTTTGCCCCAATTCTTTACGACAGGGTTAACCCACCTGCTCCATAAATCTGGAAGTACCACGGAACCCAAAAACTATCGGCCGATTACGTGCCTACCCACTATTTACAAACTTCTTACATCCATTTTGAGAGCAAAGCTTAATAAACATATTGAAGACAATAATATCATGTCTGCCTCTCAAAATGGATGTAGGAATGGATCCCGTGGTACTAAGGAGCTGCTCCTCATTGACATGTCCATTTGCCAACAGGTCCGTAGATCTCACAAGAATTTGTCCACATGCTGGATAGATTATAAGAAGGCCTATGACTCCGTGCCACATACATGGCTCATGAGGGTGCTGGAGCTATACAAAGTTGATACAGCTCTACGTACCTTCCTGTTGTCATGTATGAGACAATGGAGAACGGTTCTTCGCTATCCAGGATGTGGACAGATCTGTGGAAACGATGAACCCATTAGGATTGAGCGGGGTATATTTCAGGGTGATAGTTTGAGTCCATTATGGTTTTGCTTAGCCCTGAATCCTCTAAGCACTTTGTTGGAGGGCTCGGGGTTAGGATATAGGTTGAGAAGAGGGGGACAAATTATATCCCACCTACTTTACATGGATGACTTAAAGCTATTTGCTCCAAACAACTTGCATCTAATGAGGTTACTGAATGTCACTGAAACGTTCAGTAATGCCATTAGGATGGAATTTGGTGTGGACAAATGTGCAGTTCTGCATGTAAAGAGGGGGGAAATTGTGGAATCAGATGGGACACAGAACTCTGATTCTACAAGCTTCAGACCCCTTTCCTCAACCGAAACCTATAAGTACCTGGGTATGTCAGAAGCGTTAGGCATCGATGTGACTGTCATGAAGCAATCGTTACGGGAGCGTTTCTTTGGCCGCCTGAAAAAAGTACTTAATAGTCTTTTATCAGGCGGCAACAAGGTGCGCGCCTACAACGGTTGGGTCATGCCAGTACTCATGTACTCTTTTGGCATACTCAAGTGGACTCAAACGGAACTGGACACCCTGGATAGAAAAGTTCGTTCATTGCTGACTGAACATCGAATGCATCACCCACGATCGTCGATAATGAGACTGTACATTCCGCGTAAATGTGGGGGGCGAGGCTTTTTAAATGCAAAAACCCTCCACAATAGTGAAGTGTGCAGTCTCCGAAAGTATTTTTTGAAAATGGACGTGGGGATGCATAGAGATGTTGTCGCTGTGGACAAAGGGCTTACTCCGCTCTCCTTGGCTAACGAGAACTGGAGAGAACCTATAATACTAAGCACTAATGATCGCAGGAATGTGTGGCAAAGTAAGGAGTTGCACGGACGCTACTATCGAGCCTTACATGGGCCAAATACGGATTTCTTAGCGTCCGTATCCTGGCTACGTTTCAGTAACTTATTTGGAGAAACGGAAGGTTTTGTCTGTGCAATTATGGACGAAGTTATGATGACGAACAATTATCGAAAATATATTATAAAGGATGGAACTGTTGACATTTGTCGGGCATGTCATCATCCCGGGGAATCCATCCGGCATATAATTTCGGGTTGTTCTCACTTAGCTAATGGAGAATACTTGCATAGACATAATCTTGTAGCCAGGATTATTCATCAACAACTTGCTTTGAAATATAAACTTGTAGAATCTGAAGTGCCGTATTATAAGTATCTGCCTGACCCAGTTCTTGAAAATGGAGATGTCACACTGTATTGGGATCGAACTATCATCACAGACAGGAC